ATTCTGGGACGAAGCCGTCAAACCACTAAGCCCGCTGGATGGGGATCCAGTACGCGACGGGCCCAAGACACCCCCAGAATTATGTGTGCTAGCTTATGTTGGACCAGAATTGAGAAGGCAAGATCAAGATAATCAACAATCCATGAATGTATTTGATGAAGATCTCCTTGTGGAAAGTTCGCTTTCGGATGACTCTCAGAGCAAACTTTGGGACGGGTCGGATATCACCATGCGCCAGAAGTCCGCTGAGACGAGGTGAACGCTACGGATGGTGGCATGATCATGAGCAAGAAGAGAATCGGAAAATTGCATTGGTGCATGGAGCGGTAAACAACTTTCGGACGGATATACTCTTGGATTCGGGAACGTCAGTGAGCATGGTGAGTTTAGGCCTTGCGCGTAGGCTAAAACTCAAGCTCAAATATGGCAAACAGATTTCCGTGTCCGGACTCGGAGGTGTACCGACCAGCATTACCGCCAGTGCCGAAGTGAAAATCACCTTGGGACCAAGAGTGGTGTATGTCGTGGATGTTTGGGTCGCAAACATAGGTGGAGGTTTGGATGCATTGCTTGGGATGAATTTCATGTTCTCGGCTGGAGTACGATGGTGCGTCAAGGAAGGGCTAGTTCAACTCTCGGATGAAGAAACAGTTTTGCTTTCCGGAAGGGGACTATCCCACGTCAAGCATGGCATGGCTCATGGATTTCGTCCAAAGTATACAATGTACCTTCAACCTGGAGAATACCGGACGATTCGACTGCCCGCGTTCCGAAAGTTGATGCGGCCATCGACCACATGGGCTGGACGCGGAGATCGCTGGGTCACTCAGGTGTTGTACGCTTGGAAGGTTCCCGCTGCTGTTAAGGTAGTCAACATTTCCGATCGCATTGTCACTATCGACTGGCGGACCGAGGTTGCCCAAGTCGTCGAAAACGGGTTCTTTCCGAGAGCGGGACGTTATGTGCGCGTTGGTACTCGAAGATATAAGGAGTGGCAATTTATGAGAATACTATATCCGCCAAAGCCCAGGCTCGAGAGTCTCAACGTCTAGACGACCTTCAGAAGATGGAACCACCGGCCGTCCAAAAGCCGAACTACACGTGGTCGACTAAGATGATGATTCGTCCATCGCCAGGTTGCGAGGAAGCGAAAGTGATCAACCTTCAGATAGTCCCAAGTGAACTGTACGATGAAACAGTTGGAGTCGGCGAGCGGGTGTCAATGAGGACGCCAGCAGTGGCGACGACAGTACCTGAGGTGAGCGAGATTTCGGAAGTTGGAGATGAAACAACGGATGGTTCAACGGGTTATGTTGAGGAAGTGTGCTAAATGACCAGGACGCCGATGACGATGAATTTTTCGACTCAATTAGTGTCGAAGATGGTTTTCCAGAAGTTAACTTAAAGGACGTTCCAAAAGCGGAACCCGAAGATGATGTCTTTTCGAACTTGCCGGTGTCGGTGATGGCTTGTGTGCCAATTCAGCAGCTTGACCTAGAGTACGAGCGGGTTATGCGAATAAGTGCCGAAGAATTGGACCTCGAACCCGCAGTTTATGTTCATGAAGGGAGCGAAACATTATCGTAATTCCGGGAACAACTCGCATTGCTTCCGGACATCGAAGAATTATCTCCGAAGTGTGATATCGATTCGGCCGACGTTGGTGAATCTGGCATGAGTACTCCAGAAGACGAGCGAAGATTGCGAGAGATTCTGAAGTATCATCGAGCCATCTTTCTGGGGCATGGGAATGCGGTTCCAGCTCCGGCGCGAGGTGTCACCTGTGATTTGGATGTTGGAGAGGCGAACCCTGTCGCCCAACGCCCCCGATCTGTTGCACCACATTTGTCGATCAAAGGGTACGAACTGCTGAAGAAACGTTTGGAAACCCGTCGAACACTCAGAATCACCATAGGCATCACCTATTGTGATTGTCCTCAAGAAAAATGGTGTGGACATTCGAATGTGTGTCGACTACCGAATTGTCAATGGATTCATTACTTTGTCCAATTATCCTCTACCGTTAATAGATGATCTGCTGGTTGTGTTCGAGGATGTCATGTGGTTTATGAGCTTGGATATGGCGAGCGGCTTTTGGGCGATCAACTGAAAGAGCGAAGCTGATATCGGCGTTCATCTGTCCGTTCGGACATTTCCAATGGACCCGCATGCCATTCGGACTCAAGAATGCGCCACTGATATACCAATCGGTTATCAACGATTGTCTATGGGGATTTGTGAGACTGTCTCCAGAAGAAGAAGCAGAGGTCGATCAAGATGTCTTGGATTTCCTAGGTCTGGATCCTACCGATAACCAAGAATATGAAAGGAGCTGTCTGAACGACGAGGTGAGGGGACTCACGGATCTGATGACAGTTTTCCAAAGGAATATCCCTATGCCATCACACATCGGTCCAGTGCTAGGACGCAGTTCTTACATTGTTGACATTGATCATGGTGCGAAACCATGGGATCAACTTCGTGAAGATCTGGACACTTTGCCCTATCGCTTACGTTACTGGAATATATCGGTGAGCTTACGAAAGAGCGAGTTTGGGAAACGATCGATTCCCTATCGGTCACATGAGATTAGTGCGCAAGGTATCCGGGCGACCCCAAAAGTTGCGAAGGGTGTCATGGAGCTGCCGTTCCCCAAATCTCACAAAGGTGTGTTATCGTTTCTCGGAAGTCTGAATTATTACCATAAGTTCATTGAGGACTTTCCGGTAGTGGCCGCAGTTCTTTATGAACTTTCAGAAGACCAGATACATCAGGGACGAGATCTCTCGCGAGCTCATAAATAATTGAACTGCTTAAAAGGAAAATCGTTGCGACGCCAATGTTGAGACATCCGGACATCCAAAAGCCGTTTGTGATCATTCCACACGCGAACCGTTGGGCTGCTTGTGCAGTCGTAGGACAAGAATACGGCGGAAAGATACAACCTGTTCGGTACACGGGACGCGTTCTGAACGATGCTGAACTCCGGTATCACATTGCCGAGAAGTAAGTGATTGCTATTCTGCGGGCGTTACAAGTCTTTCGGACTATTCTGTAAGGCCGACGACTGATCATCTACACAAGATATTCTGTTCTAAAATGGGTGTTACAGTCTAAGTCGGCAGATGGGAGGTGCGTTCCTCGGGGAGCCACACTCTCACATTGGGATATCGAAGTCCGGAAAGTCCAAAAGAATGAAGACGGACTTGCAGCCATCATGGGAGCAGGGATCACACCACGGGAACATTTGGATGAGGCCGTTGAAACGTTGATCCCCCTGAAGGGACATGTTCGAAAGCCCCCTGTAGTGAGCGTGGAGATTTTTGGAAGTGATTTCCGAGGAGTCGTGCTGAGTTTCGACGGTGCCGCAAAACTCTCCACCAAGAAGGGGAGTTGTGGTTGTGTACTATGGCAGCTACCCGGTTGGAAGGTTCTGAAAGCAAAAGGGTTCCTCACGGTGAACGATGCCGAGTATCATGGACTTATCAAAGGACTCGAGATGGCCATCGAAATGAAGTTGCAAGAGTTGGTCGCAGTTGGGGATTCTCGAATTGTTATTCAACAGGTTCAAGGACTGATCAACAGCAATCAACCACACCTCCAGACGCATCTTGCCAAAGTTGAGCTACTGAAAGCGAAGTTCGGATTGTTACGTCTGGTACATCTGAAACGGGAATACAATGAGGCCGCCGATTATTTGATCACGAAGACTCTGATTCCGGATGAGTCATGGGACGTTACGGATACAGCCGAGATCGCGCATTTGGAGCACGTATCAAAGATTGCGGAGAAACTCATGAAAGTGGAAGGCTCCGGGTTGAAATCTGGAGTTGATGCAACTTCTGGAGAAACATTGTCAAGGGACGTCGTACCGCCTACTGCGGAGTCAGCTCCACTGACAAAATCAGCCCGCGTGCTCGCAGCCGTAACGCGTTCCAGAAGCCAAGTCGAATCCACTTCGAGAAACCGACCTATGGACCCTTTGGAATTCCAAGCTGAACGATGGCGACATATCCTAGTGCATCAGGACGCAGATGAGTATCTGTCGGAGATCAAAGACTTTCTGAAAGAGGACTTCGAGAAGCTTTCGCCCCGAAGACTGAGGAAGGTCGCCAAGGTTGCAGATCTATTTGTACTGGACACTAGAGATATGTTGTATCGACTAGCTCGCTCAACTCGCGATCGCCCGCGGGACTTT